CATGGGCTTCCCACAGGGGACGCACAGGAGGCCTACTTGAGCAGCCCACATGAACCTATCACAGGAGACTCACAGCGGACCTACTTGGGCAGCCCACATGGGCTTCCCACAAGGGACACACAGGGGGCCTACTTGAGCAGCCCACGTGGACCTATCATAGGAGACCCACAGCGGGCCTTCTTGTGCAGCCCACATGGGCTTCCCACAGGGGACACACACGGGGCCTACTTGAGCAGCCCACGTGGACCTATCACAGGAGATTCACAGCGGGCCTACTTGTGCGGCCCACATGGGCTTCCCACAGGGGACACACATGGTGGCCTACTTGAGCAGCCCACGTGGACCTATCACACGAGACCCACAGCGGGCATACTTGTGCAGCCCACGTGGGCTTCCCATAGGGGACACACAGGGGGCCTACTTGAGCAGCGCACATGAACCTATCACAGGAGACTCGCAGCGGCCCTACTTGGGCAGCCCACATGGGCTTCCCACAGGGGATGCACAAGGGGCCTATTTGAGCAGCCCACGTGGACCTATCACAGGAGATTCACAGCGGGCCTACTTGTGCAGCCCACATGGGCTTCCCATAGGGGACACACAGGGGGCCTACTTGAGCAGCCCACGTGGACCTATCACAGGAGACTCACAGCGGGCCTACTTGTGGAGCCCAAATGGGTCGTCCCGGGAACCTTTATTCGTTCGGGGTGATTTTATAATTTCCTTACGGTATGGGGTACTGCAGTGCGTACCAAATTGAGCATGCCTTACTTTCTCCGTGGGCCTACTGGAAATATTACCATTTCGATACATCTTGAGCAAAAAAAAAGTGAAATAAGACGTTAAGTGAAATATTAGCATTTCGATAATCTTAAGCAAAAAAAAGTCAAATAGGGCGTTTATAGTGTTTACACAGCATAAAGTCGGTCTGCCAGGATGGGGCGACACTGGTTTACACTGTAGATGAGCAATTTCGCGAGTGCAGTACGACTGCTAACCTGGTGTGTGTAACGTGCTCACGCAGCAGTGATACACGACCGCACGCCGGTACGATGCTCGTCCAGATCGAAACGGGAGGGGTGGGCTCGAACCCAGGATCTCTGGGTTCTGTAGCGCGAACTTTCGCTACGTCGAGCTGGGTGTGCGCTTTAGCCCACTCGGCCACCGATCCCCCCAACGTTTTGAGCAAGCTCATGAAAGATTGGGCATTTCAATTATACCAGATGTAACAAAAAAACTTGCACATTTTCATAGAAAATCTTGTTGGACAAGGAATCGGGACACATAGCCAGCATGAGCCTTCTACAGACACCGAATTTCAGAACAGATACGACATTCTGGTGAGTGTGTTTCGAATTCACACTCAAATTCAATACTCTGCATAAAACTTTTCACCCCACTTAAAACGTCCTTCTCAACATACAGGCTGAATTGAATGTTAGCAATAAAGTTTAGCAAGCCTAAAATTTCTTGCTCACGATTAAAATTGCAATTCTCAATTATTCGATAACAAATTTAGCCGATCCCTCATGTCAAATATTGAGATCGTTCAGTAAATATTCTCAATATCAGCAGAAAGTGCCGTTTTGGGAGTTGCACACGTAGTTCAAGTTGGGCATGCCCACGTTTTGCCGCCATTGGCACCTGTGGCGGTACCGATGGCAGAAACGTCGGGCATCCCCTCCCCCCTCATTTTTTGTCTTGATATTCTCGGTAAGTATAGACCAACTTATGTTTCCAAACAAGCTGGAGCGTCCCTAGCGTACGCCACCGGCGCCGCGCATGCGCGATGGAGTATGGGCAAGAAGCTCGTGGTCGTCCAGAATAGAGGCCTCCGTGCGTGGGCAGGTCGTCCAGGAGAGAGCCGTGCGTGCGTCCAATTATTGAACACTTGTTGGGTATTAATTAAAAAACCGATTAATCTGTTAAAGCATTGATCGCGATAAAAGCCTTAATCGATTAATCAGAAGGTTAATCGATCGATTGCCCAGCTAAGGCATATTTTAAGAAGAGTACAGAATTAATAAAATAAGGATTCGGGACGAGCGGCATTCGAACCCCATTCCTCTGCGTGAGAGCCGCATGCGTTGCCAACCCCGCCACGCACGCGGCTTTCTTTTTTTGGATTAGGACGATGACACAAGGCAGTGACACACAATCGCGATGAAACACTAAAAGACACCAGCCGTCTTGGCTAATGTCGAACATGGCACAAGTCTTTGAAGGTAGACAACACCTCATGAAGTGACAGCCACTCAGGTGTAGATTGCTGGTCCTTATAGAATTTCTTCAGGAAGCATGCATGTGCTCAACAGAATACTTATGCACGGGGCGGACATCGATATCCGCGTGGCGCACAGACTTGCGGCAGGCCATATGTTGTGCAGGCCCAGCAGTAGGATCATTTTCTACCGCTCAAAAACGTATGGCATGGGGCGTTAATGGGAAGTCTTTTCTAAAGGGACCCTTGCAGGACGCCCAAAAAGAAGACCGCGTCCCAACACTCTACTAAAACGTGATCAACCGTTCCCTGGTTCCTGCACAGTATGCAGTTGTGAGACAAAGCCACTGGAATACCTTCTTCAACTAACCAGGCTTTAACTGGAAGTGTTTCACTATGCAACTTAAAGAAGAAAAAAAAGTATTCGCGTTAGGGAACACCACTTTTCGCTCTACTCGCATTAAGATATCCCACCCCGGGCCTGCACTGTACAAAAAATGACACAGAATAATTGAAAAAAGCGAATCAATTAAATACTTCGTTAGCCGCTTGCTCGACACAAGACAAGTATTTGAGTGAGAAGAGCGTGACTAAAAACCATTAAGCGCCGTTCACATATATACGACCGAGTACGACCAAGGAGGACCAGACCGGTTTTTAAGCCTATTGCCACGTCTTAAAACGGGATGCGCTGCAGCGGAGCTGGTCCTAGGACATCGCAAGAGGCTTAAAAACCGGTCTGGTCTCTCTCGGTTTCACTCAGTCGCGAGAGTGTGAACGGGCCTTTAAGCACCAAGAACGTCTTCCATATAGCCTCGCACACAGGCACGCCATACGTTCTCGCTTGACGAAACAATAAACTCAGGAAGCGCACCACGAAATCTCACTTGAATAAGGGGTTGTAAAAATGGTTACCTCTGGTCTCTGAGAAAAATAAATCTATTGACAAGTTGCATCACGTGTCATGAAAGGCAATAAACTATTCTTCTAAAGTCGTTGTTTTTTGTATATCTACTTGGACCACCTCAGGGTATAATAAAAGGCCGTTAGGCAGCAAAACGGACTTTTTCATAATTTGTTTTTGCTGCTAAGTATCTTGCTGTATGGCTTGAGACCTTTTTTTTTTTTTTCATTTCTAATACATCTACAGGGCTTCCAATAGTAAGCGTTATAATTGCAAGGAGCAAAGGAATAATAAAACAAAAAAACAAATTGAGAAATTAGCTATTTTTCTGCATTTGTTGAATATTTAACAAAACTTTTAACATCAAAAACCGCTAATTATCAACACACAGCAAGCTAAAAGCCGCTGGAATTCCATAACAAATTTATGAATCATTTTAAAAAATCTGATTTTACTCAATTATTGTTAGATGCCCTTTTCTATGCCCATTGAAAAAAAAAAATTTAAACTGCGCTCACGCCATAAAAGAAAAGATCGGCAAAAATATATTAGGAAAGGTTAAGAGCCTTAAAGTAAAAAGCCACGAATTTTAGTTTTTTTACATCCGAAATGGTCGAGCGCAACGTCTGGGACGTTTAGAGTGGAATGACCAATTTATGGCTACTTCGCGCATTGAATAGAAAAATATAGTTTTGAGTTCGTGATCCCGGTAATAAAAAAAGGCGAATCATTTTTTTTTTTCTTTTTCTCAAATAATTTTTGTTTGGCTTTGCACTTTATCCAGGGCCACATATTTCAGTGTTGGCTTAATTGTTTCTGCGAGCGGTGAATCTTGTTTGTTGCTCTTGTAGGAACTGGAGTAAAATATATTTTGCCAGGGTTTCCGACAACTAGCTAGCTACTCGAGCTTCTGGCAACTTTAATAAAACTTGGTCAGCATAACGGTATTCTCCGTTCACCCCTAAGCTGAGACTGCGGTGGAAGCTACGAGAGCGTTGGACCAACCATACCTCGATCTTTGGCCACGTGATCACGCTCTCGCCCACATCCTCGCGAGGAGAGCTGGGAGAGCTAGGTCAGGTGATGAAAGGTAGGCTGTTGATTGGTCCGGCGAAAGCGTAGCTCCTCTCAGCTTAGGGGTGAATGGAGGATAGATCCTACAGAACTTTGCATGGTCCCATTCAGCGGCCTTACCTCACGGGTTCATGGTGCGGGCAACGCGCAAAAAAGAGCCACAGCACCGGTAAGACCTGTCCCGCGGCAATGCAATAGAAGACGGTTCAAAATTCTCTCACATTCCAAGGACAATATGCACAGCAATTTTGGCAACAATATTGTTTTTTTTTTTCTTGTTTTTTTTTTTCTTGTTTTCTAGCAAGTAAGCTATCAGAAGCAACTGGAAACATAGAGCGTTTACTCAAACTTTGTTCTTGGGGAAAGGGGGAAGAAGGGCTGTTGGGTATTCATCATGGTAAAAAAGGAATCGCATATGCGTGCATGACGAAAGATGTATTTTGACCTCTACTGGAAGTTCTAGGCGGTATCACGGGCGTCAAGAAAGGCCAGCGCAAGGTTAAGAAAGTACTGTTTCTGCAAAGGCATCAGGGATGATGAATGCCATTTGAACTACATAAACACTCAATTTTATTTTCTGCCGAGAGTGACGAGCTTGATGATGGGAAGATGGATCTCGCTCTGCACGTGTGCCCAGTGGCACAAAAACAAAATGATGGGTAAAGCGTTGCGTTGAAGAAAACGCAACAGCATGGGCTACCAAACGCAAGGCACGCCAGCATCTCCCTCTCCAAAATGTTATTTTCTTCGCAAAAGCGGGGGCAAGAAATGCACTCTAAAAAGCTGCGAGGTTGTTGTATATTTTTCTTTTGTTTTTTACGCATTCTCGAAATTCGAGTATTTGTCCCTGGGTCTGTCCTGTGCCTATCCGTTGGTGACATACTCTTGAAGCTCCTTCGCAGGCGCCGGTTTTAAGGGCAGTCCCTCCTTCGGGAGTTCCGTCATGTTGAGGCAGTCGCCGGTGTCCATGCTCGGAGTCATGCCCGTATCCGGAAGGCAGCTGTCATCCACTGAAAGCGAAAGCGTAAACGAAGCAAGGTGTTGGACAAGGTGTTTATCAAAACATGAGCCAAAGCATTTATGCCAAAAATATGCATCACACGGAGAGAAAGGTTAATATCGTATTGGTCTCTGCTTTTCTTAGCCACAACATTACAAGCCTAGGTTACAATAGCGAAGCGAGTGAAGCAATTTCCGATCACAAGGCAGTTTTAGTTAGCCTCGAACTTAGTACCAATCATATAAACCCTGAAATTGTTACGGTCTTTGATTTCAACAGGGCTGAGGGTGTAGCTATAATTGATAAATTTAGTTTTTGTTTCAATAACTTTTGTGCTATGAGTATATACGCAGATGTGGATGCGTGCTTAGTCATTTCAACTTTCTCGTAGATAAATGTATTAACAATTTTGTACATGTTACAAATAAAAAAAAAATCCTTCGCTCCCCTGGATTACGAGAAAAGGTCTTACAGTTCATGCGGAAAACACAAAGGAAACGTTCTACGTAACGCAATGTAGCCTCGGATGATAACGCTTTGTTTGAGGCCCTCAACACGACTTTAAAGGAAACATTGTTAGCAGCTAAAACCAAGTATTTTAGCGTAACTCTGTCTGAATGTAGGACATAAAATCATGCCAAATTCTGGAGGTCTATCCTTCCAAAATGTAATGGGTCGCAGTGTTATTATTCAGGGTGAATCTGTTAGTGAAGCAGCAGTGATTGATAATTGTTTTAACGGATACTTTAAATCGGTATTTAGTTGCGATATTGATTACGTTCCAGATTTCTGCTGAGACGGTAATCCTCGGCATTTTCGGATGTTAACATTACTGTGTATGGTGTTCTTAATCTACTCCTAAACCTCAAATTTAAGAAGATCCCTGGCCATGAAGGGATCCCCAATTCTTTACTTCACCGGTATTCACTTTAGACTTCAAATTATTTACCTGTAACTTTTGAAAAATCTATTTCCAGTGCAACCTTGCCTCGACTGTGGAAATCAGCTAAAATTATTCCCCCGTTTAAATCTCGTACGAAGTGATTGGTTACTAACTTTAGACAAATTCCATTGACATCATGTTCTTTCAAGCTTCTTGAACACATGGTCCATAAACATATATCTCAGTTCCTCGAGGCTAATTCGATTCTCTGTCTTCAACCACATGGCTTTCCTTCTGTCTACTCTACCTCTAGCGACCTACTAGAATATACCAGCGACATTGCTTTTCCCTTAGATAAAAGAGGGCAACTAGATTCCATCTTGATTGACTATTCAAAGGATTTCGATAACGTGTCACATTCTAAGCTTCTTCAAAAACAGAAAATGCTAATAAAAAAACACATCACAAATAATTGGATCACTAATTACCTAAAACATACATCTCAGTTTGTTTCATATGGGGATGTTTATTCTAGCAACGTCTCGGTTGGCTCTAGTGTCCCGCAGGGTTCGGTTTTTGAACAACCTTTGTTTTTGCTTTATATTAATGACGTCGGTGACCACAGTCCTGCTAAGATTCGCCTTTATGCTGATGAATGCGCTTTATACCACGAAATCAGTTCCGTAGATGATCACGCCACGCTAAATGACTCATTTATCATTTGTTAATTGTAGCCAGAAATGGTGCATGGAAATTTACTTTTAAAATCTGTGTTCATGACGTTCACTAACAAGAAGACACCGTCTGTTCTTAGTTACGGTATAAGTAAAACAATTCTGCGCGAGATGTGTGAGTAAAAGTATTTGGGAAATTTGTTTACTCCAAGTCTTAAACGGGACAGGCACATTAATTCTATCTGATCTCGCGCTTTCTTAAGACTGGGTTATGTTAAAAGGACTTTAAAACCTTCAACTAGAGAAGTTAAAATAACCGTGTTAATTAGACTGATTTTAGAATATGGGTGTGTGTAATGGGACTCGTATTTAAAGGGAGATATCCAGCTGCTTGACGCAATACAAGCTAAGGCAACCAGAGTTATTGTTAATCGATAATATCGTACATTTTCTCCTACATCGTCAATGCCACACATTGGACTTCAAGCCTTATGTTCGAGACATGTTGTAGAACGACTAAAGATGATACACAAAATAGTAAATAAGAACTGTGTAGTTATTCATGAAAATTATATTGCTTTCATTACTCCATCAAGTAATCGTAGCTTGCATCCTCTAAACATTGTACCGTATACATGTCTCATCAATAGTTTTAAATATTGTTTTTTTTTTTTTTCGAGGACCATCGATACTTGGAACAGCATCGATGGAGCTATTCGTTGACTTGAACTTGGTAAATATATATTAAAAGTGCAATAGGTTATTGCTGGTAAGTGTTGCTTTTTAACCCATTTTTAACCGTTGGCAATGTATTTCTTATTTTTAATAGGGTGCGTACTTTGAACATTTTCGTGTTGTACTGGTGTGCAATGTACATATTCTTTTCCACTCCTGCAATGACCTTCTGTAAGGTCGCAGTATTTTGAAATAAATAAATAAATAAAGGGCCCATTTCACAAAATTACTAACGTCCGGTATAAATATTTTATTAATCACGTTCGAGTAATGAACATTTTAATTAGTAACTTTAATGGGATAATTTCAACGAGAAATTTGCTGAGGAGCATTGAAAACTACTAAACCAACTATTTTAGAAATCAAGAAGGCACGCGCAGCATTTTACTGCGTTCCCAATAAAACGCTCAATATGGACGCGTTTCTAGGTTTCGGTTTCCTGTCATCGCGCATCTTTCCACCAGCGGTCCTGCACCCCGTGGGTAAAACGCGCAGCTCCCGTTTCGCCTCCCTCGTAGGAGAAAAGGAAGCACGATGCAAGAAGAGAGCTGTCTGAGTGACACCGCCTCGCCACGGAGCAAGTGTGTCGAAGATTCGCTACCATTTCTGACAAAGGGCGTGAGATGGTGCAGCAGACAGGAGCTCGACGAACCGTTCTTATTCACCCAGACGTTTTTAAGGTCGCGCGACGTGCCACGTACCGCGCGAAGCCCATTTCCGACAGTGCCCCGCCGGGACCTGCGCGAAGCCCATTTCCCGTCGGGGCACTGTCGGGTTGGTGCTTACGTTTTATTGGTGACCAGGCATGATTGAGGTTTATCTAAAGATATGAATAGAAAATATCGTATTTTGTTTATATGGCCTCAATTATACCTTAAACCGTGTCAGTTGAGTGTTGTGACTTCGTCCTCGCATGGGTGCTACTCGGCCAATATTTGGGCATGGATATGGTTAATTACCTCAGATTCATACATACATTAACATGTAAGCTTAAGAAGAATTGAAATTGTGCGTAATGCGGAGTAAAAGTTGTTTTACTCTGCAACAAAGATTGCTGTTTTACAACGCATATTTAACAAGATTCAATCTTGATTTTCTGTCATATGAACAAAAGAACCCCCTCCCCCCTTCCCGCCTTCCCCTTTCTTCGCGACGCCACAAGCTTTTTAATTTCAGTGCATGAAGAGTGATACACATGTAGTCACAGAAACTTTATCTGAGAGTTAATATAGTCAGTGTGAATCAGCTAAGCAAGAGACCATCACAAAAAGAGAAAAAAAAACATGCCAGCAAATATGCCTGTTTCTAATAACTGAACTGAGCTAGTTTGTTAGAGTACGTTTTCTCCAAAAGAAGGGGGGGGGGGGGGGGGGGGTTTCGACACGGCCGATCTCAGTTCCGGCTCGAGGTTGAGCTGCGGTCTGTACTTTGCTCGAATGAAGGCTATCGCATAGAAGCCAAGGTCACCTTTTTCGCTTTCGAGCCGCATAGCTGACCTTGGGGTCGTGACCTAATTTGGGAAATATTCGCATAAGTGACATACTCTAGTGGTAAAAATATTCCAGGGAAAGAGACCATGCAATTACAGGCTACATGAGCCATTTACAGTCTGCGCATGTAATTTCCAAGTATAGCTCTAGCTCTCCTGAAAAAGCTTATACTATAGGGTGTTTCCACGTCAGATCGTGCGATAATGGTCAAAGTCTTTTTTTTTCATTCATTTATGTAAAAACATATAAGTTAAAGTCATATTTTTGGGTGGTGCATTCAGCTATATGCGAACGCCTTAGCTAAAGTTCTTCCGGAGATATAAAATTTCGAAGCTCGAGGCGTGGCGATTTCCAAGGTTCCGTTATGGTAATTTGTACAGCCGTCAATTTCACACCGAAGCATGCACGTAGTAATAATTTCTTTCTTCTCCTTTTATGCAGGGTATACGAAATGTACAGAAGATATTAAAAATCACAATTAAACATTTCTATGCAAAACATTTACGAAACACGTGAAATAAAAACGTTTTAAATACACATTCACAAATTATTTACCTATGAATCACTCCAAATTATACGAAGGAAAATATATAAAAATTATCACATTTAAATGCGTTTTATGAATATACAAGAGAACTATGCTCATCCATTATTGTAGTTTTATTTTTAATGCAGAAAGACAACTCACTTCGCTAAATACAACAAAATTCCAAGTCAATATTAAAAAAAACTCCACTTTTTATGTTTGTTAAGCTCTCTTTAACCATTTACACTGACTTAAACTAACTTGTGATGGCAAAACATTGACTAACATATGACCTTCTAAAAAACAACAAACCTTCACTCAAATTGAGCTAGCTTGTCTTCGTTATAGAGGCTTTACCGCACGACGTCGGCTCCAAAGGGACATTTTCTGGAAGCGACAAAGGCTGCCCAGCGGTGCTGCTCTATCATATGGTGTAAAAAGTGATGGTTTTCCTAGTTTAACGTTACATTCGTGTTTCCTTGCGTTGCCCTTCTAAGACACCCCCCCCCCCTTTTTTTTTTTCAAAACACGTTTAAATTTAGAGTGTTTTAGGGAGCGCCGTAAAAGGCTGCGCATGCTTCACACCTCTATAATCTTAGTGGATTTTGTAGTTTTTAGTTATTCCGACCACGTTTGTAACTGAAATGGTACCTTTAAATTTAATAATTATAAACTAAATTACCAATTTGGTTTATAATTATT